CATAGGGTTCAGTGTTCGGCAGTTTCCTCCTCCTCTCCACACGATAGAAAAAGCAATAAGAGCGACACCACCCCACGAAACTGACTAATGTTGAATTCCAATGACAGAGTTGGAGCAGCTGATGGACTCAGTGGGACTCAGCACTCGACCCTGGATTAGAGCAACTCTCGCCAGTGGAACACAATTGACCACCAGAAATCTGCAAGGTGGCTTTCCTGCAAACTTGTTTTCCAGGAAAAAGGTCTCTTTCACAGACTGCTTTTCACACGCATTGTGTTCTTGCCTCCCCCTCTTCTCCTCCTCTATTTACGAACGACAGGTGCCTCGCCCACCAAATGTTGGGATGGTTCCTTCGTGGTGGAAAAGTCATTTTGTCACTCTGGCGTGCCTTCACTGGAATGGGAGTGGTAAAAGCACAGTGAGCAAAAAACGAAGCCAAAGCACGAGAATTCCCCCCCCCCCCTGGAAAACGAAGCCGCCTTGCAGATTTCTGCAAATGGTCACCGCCGTAGCAAGCATCAAAAATAACGAGGGTGAGGTCTGGGTAGTCGAGTATGTGGTTCTCGGGTATGTGGTACTTGAGTATGTGGTACTCGAGTATGTGGTACTCGAGTATGTGGTATATGGTACCGCTCGTATGTGGTACTTTCAGTGTCAGTGACACGATCCGACAAACTGCTCGTGCCGGAATGCGACCGCCGCAGCCGAGATCAAACCCACGACCTCTTTAGCCGCCTGTTCAACCCAGGCGGAGTAACATGAATGAAGGGAAAATACGCAAAGCAATAGGAATATTGAAAACTAGGGCAAACCGTGCGTGAAGCATTTACCGGCACCAATTCAACGCTGCATAACGCTGATGAAGGTGGCATGTTGGCTCGTTGATGTGCCTTCCTGGTTTCCTTGACGTGAGTCTACGCTACCATGAAGTACAGTAGAAAGTGTCCCGCTATATTACATCCCACTCTAATGTGTTATTTTATATTATATGGAATTAAACTATAATATGTAGAAAGATTGCATGAAGACCTGATGTTGTCTGACTGTTATATCTGCATTAGCACGGATAATTAGGCTAGTTATTATTGGTTCATCTTTTACCTGAATAAACTTATTCAGAAAGATGAACCAATACTATATACCCCAAGCATTCGTGTTATTGCAATATATTTCGATTACATCGGGCCCTTTCTTGTGTGCTAACCCCTTCCACGTCACCAGTAAAGGTGCTTTGTTGTGTGCATTTTCTTGTTTTAGTGCCCGTGTCTGTGTGCACACCGTTATTAAGCTAAAAGATGTCATATCTGGTTATCCACTTATGTGGCAACGAACAAAAGAGGTGTAATGCTATAATCCTGCCTTGTGAGACGCAGCAAAAGGTATGGAAGGTTACTGACAGGGTTACGTTATCCAGACACAGATAAGTCAAGCATCGAGCATTGCATTGAGTAGTTTCATCGTTCTTGTAACTGTTTTTGCTGCTTGTAGTAGCAAAAATCATTTTTTTTTCAAAGGAATTGAGCTTCCTCCAGTAATCGCAGTAATTCGAGCATTTATTTTCTATATTTAAACTGCATGCGGCTGTAACTATATTTCTTTTCAGTAAGCCCCACCACCTCCTCCCATTTCATAAGCTCGCAAAATAAAAGGTTTTGTTGGTGACCAGCACCAGTCCTTATGTCTCATTCTCTTGTCCGTGTGTAAATCAACACTTTTTTTTTTCTTTTTTTAAGATGGATTCTCACTAAAGAGCGCGCTTCAAATGCTAAGTCCGAATGGTCGTCCTGTTTTCTTCTTATATGTAGAACGGCTCTGTTTGTTTTACCTTTTGACAAGACGCGGGTGACGACAGTATTGGAAGTGTGAACGGGCCTTTTGCACTTGATACAAAACGGTATATTACCGCTTGCGTATATTTTTTTTTTCACTCACGAACAATTGTTGATTGCTGTGTAAATTAGCCTTTGAAATCGTTCAACCAGAAGCATGGGTAGCGAGAACAGCTTGATATTGCGATGAGCTCACTCCTGAGGTGATCAGCTTAATACTTGTGTTGTCAAAGCGTTCGCTAACGAGAAAATTAAAAAGAAAGGCATTCAGACCAGTGAGTGAAAAAAAAGAGAAAGGTGGGGTCGAATGCGTCACAAAACACGGCGACAGGCCGCGACCACTGCGTAAGGCCGTCGACCTCTTTAGCGGTAAACCGCAAATATTCCGAGACCGCAAAGCGCGTCATCGATGCGGCGGGTTGTGCCTGACTGTTGGGCGTAATACCCGAAGAGGACACCGTAACGGAAACGCGCTACGAGGGAATCCAGCCGACCCCGCAAACACGCACAATCCCGATACCGCGCACGCCGAGCGGTTCCGCTGCAGCGATCAAGCCGCGCGAGTGCTTCAAACGTAAAGCAAGACGGATGTCGGGAAAGAATTCCCGATTCGCTCGCCCGGAACGCCGATCGGCTGCCGAGGACTCGGGCTGAGTGTATGCACGGCCATCGAAACATATGTTCCGTGCCCGAGATGTTTCCGCTCCCTCTTTAGGGATCGAGGCCGCGGGAAAATGGGAGGGAAGGCCGGCACCCTGGTAGCGTTCCTCCATCTTGTTGTTTGTTTGGGAGAAAGAGATTGGGGATGCGGAGGGAGTCTTTACGGCGCGCGTATGTCGTATAGGTTTGCGTGCGAGACCGCGTGTAGCGGATGTATATACTGTAGCCGGAGACCACCCTACGTTGCGTAGTATCGATTTGGTCGCCAGGGAACTAAGTCCCGTTTGGGTTCGCCCAATCCCAGGCGCGCCCGCCTCTCCGGTTCGATTGAGGTGTGCTGCTCCGATTGGCCGACGATTCCCGACTGACTGTCCAATGGGGAGACAGCGAGGGAGGAGCTCTCTGAGGAATGCAATAGGTAAATTTCTTTTGTTTAACTTATCCTGTATCTCCCTTCTGCCGGACAGCTATGGCCTCTTGTTTTCTCGCAACTGCGACGACGTCTTACGCTGAAGTCACTCGGTTTACGAAACAGTGTTTCAATGCATTAGGTTTGTACTGGTGCTGTTATGTAAGTTTCTTTTTAGCTTTGTTCGCCATCTCGCTTAGGGTTTTGTTTTTCATGCACGCTGGTTGATACACACGGCAGTAATTCTCAAGCTACGACCGCTTAGTACAAACGTTGCTTATATTTAGGGGCACCCAGTTGCTGAACGTACGTCTATCTCGAATGCACCAAACACCTTGCAACAACAACAAAAAACGCGATGATGATCCGCGTAATCCGAGCAAATATTGACAACGGCATGGCGCGAAAATCCACATCTAGAGGACTCAACCAAAACTACCTTTTTCAAGGTGTATAGAAGCATTTAACCGGTCAGCGGCTGAAAAGAGCTACTAAGGCAGTTCGGAATATATGTGCCAAGGAAAGTCAGGGAATCCTATCACAGAGAAACGACGTAGTTTCCTTTACACCACTTAAGGGACCCACGACACCCAATTTTAGATCCCAGTCATGTCATGTGGAGTAATCCATGGGCATCGACAGATTAGCTGGTGAAACTTTAGCGCACTTGGTCGAGCACTTAATTTATTATAGAATATTATTACAAACAGGCGAGAGGCCTGAGAATCGGGAAACGGTGGCGCATTCACGAGCCGTGACGTAACAAGCGAGTGACGTAACAAGCGCGGCTCTATGAGTGCCTCCATTCCGATGAGCGATACTGTTCTGTCGTCAACTGCACGCGAAATTGAGAGGTCCGTGCTTTCTTCTGCTTAGCACTAAAACTGAACAACTTACAGCGGCTGAAACTGAGGTTGAAGACGACGGCACGGCTCCTTGTTGCACGTGACGTCACAGGCACAAAGGCGAAATGGTGGTCGCCGGCATTGGGCAGGATTTACAGCCAGTGACTTCAGGGGCCTGCATTGGTACTGAAATATTCTTTGCCGGCCCACTTTTCGTATCTGCCTGTGCATGAGAGACCCTCTACTTCTATAGTTCTCACTGAAAACGACAAATCGTTGGGTGACCGTGTCATGGACCCATTTCGCATACCTTCATTGGCACTCACTGAAAAGTTTCGAAGACAAAGGTGTGCCTCTTCTGCGGTCCAGGGGATGCCTTCGTACATCTGGAACAGGAGCTCTTCATCCGGATCTTGAGGACCAGAACTTTCAGAGGAAGCACCACTCGATAACAGCGATTCATCGAGGTCGCGTGGGGTTCTGGGCACCAGCAGGGGCTGCACTTGCCCCTACACAAGCCACACTAGTACTGCCCCTTCCTCCAATCACAAGGCCCCAAGCGTTTGCCGTCCCCCTCCCCCCCCCCCCTATGAGGAACTCCTGTCGTCTAGGGGGTTGTAGACCAGGGCTGCTTGATGCAGTGACACATTAACGTAAATGGAGCACACCGGAACATCGAAAACACATAGTATGAAAACTGCATGTCGGTTCTGCACAACCGCGCAATGAACAGAACGAGAAAGTAAGGAAAATTGACAACCATCTGCTTGTGGCACGCAATCACCAAGTAAAGCTCCCAGATCTCTCAGATCGGGAAGCTTCTTAGTCGCTGAAAACTTTGTGCTAGTCATGAAATTAATCCCGGAGCCAATACCACTCTGGGGTAGTTGTTTTCACAGCTGACCTGACCTGGAAGCTAGCCATTTATCGACAACTTGAGGACCCACAATACAGCAAATCAGTCTCGTGGATTCCCGCTCCGTGGCTAAAGCCTCTTCACGATGCCACAGCACATGCGTCATTCCCCTAGCAGAAAATTCGTGAAACACCTATTCGTCTCGAAGGCTTTCATTCTCCAAGACGGCAGAGGGCAACACAAAAATGAAAAAAAAAGCAGAACCGCCCTCTTGTTGTATGCCTCAGTGTCTTCACCGTCCGCGTCGTTTGCGCCCCTACCTGCCTAATTGCGAAAAACAGACTTTCGATTTAAGTTTGAAGAGTGAGGCGAAAAAAAAAAACGTGCTTTGAACGACTCACCATACATCTTGCCTTCGTCCGAGAGAATGATCTTGCGCCTTCCGCATGGCGGATAAATGGCGAGCGCCTCCTGGAAGCTCTGCTCGATGTCGGGGCTCCATACGCCCTCGGCGTCCGAGTTGGAGACGTCGTTGGCGCCTCGGCCCCCGCCGGACGACGGACCGTCCTTGGAAGTTGGAGTCGTCTGAGCCGACGTCCGACAGGGGCGCCTGGGGCGGAGGAGGGGCGCCCCCGCCCGTCAGGCCGGGCCCGGAGTTCCAGGGGGACGAAATCTTGAACACCGATATGGGCGCCACACTGCGCCAGAGAGGAAAAGATAACACGACGCTGAGTATGGTGCGGTTCCTCAAATGGGTGTATACTAAAGCTGACATCGCATCACGTGACATCGATGTTTGACGAACATATAGAAGACTGCAGTCACCGCCAGGTGGCGCCAGCGAGCCCCCACGTCTAAGGAGCCTTCATTAGCCACAATTGTGCTTGCTCAATGTTCTGGAATATGACGTTTTGGTGTAATGTGAAGGGATAAAAAAAAGAAACACGCACGACGAAATAGCTTCATAGTTGCACTCCTACGATTGCGACCGTGGGTGCGACCACAAACAAGTCGACTGCCGGGCCAGCGCCAACTCCAGTGAGGCGTTCACGAGAAATAAAAACCATATAATGCATGTCACTAAATTTCTTCAAACATGATCCGTTAAGCTTGTGGCCCCGTGCAAGGGCAGTGTACTTTTTTTTTTTTACCGATCAGGCACAATGCACGACCTAGCAGGTCAAGAGAAAGACTGGGAGGTCAACCAGAAAAAATGCCTCAAATCATTGATGCAGTCATATAACCAGGTCTTTTAACGGCTTCATATCGATAAAATGCTAGGTAAAAACCACGCTCTATTCATTCCCCTTCCTCCTCGCCTTTACCATTCGCCCGTCCCTCAGATATTCAAGCAAGTTACAACAGTCACCATTTCTTTATCCTTCCTTCCTACCTCCTTCACGGTTTTGTGCGAGTGTGTGTGTGTGTGAATATTTTCTCTAATAAACAGCGACGGCACCGGGAAAAAAAGCTTTATATATCGTAGTTGAATGCAACGCCACAAGATGTCAGTACAAGACTTCTAATTGTAATAAGTGATTTTCTTATGCCGATGATCTGTTAACGTTATGAAATTTACGAACGACCTTAAAGGCTTCTTCATTAGAATCGTAAAAAAAAAAAAACGGCAGATGCCTTGTACCTCAAAATCGACGTTATGCACAAGCATGCGGAGGAAAGGTGACCGTGTTGCAATTTTTTTTTTTACTGAGCAACGCGTCATGAAATAACGTTAAATATATGTACAAATGTTGCACGCACAGACATATTATGAAAAGTTGCAGATGTTTATATAACCAAATTGCACTTGCGCAACGATGTCATCTGGAACATGCGCATTAGTAACACCAGAAGCTGATACGAAGCGCTGATGCTCGCGAAGACGCTGGCCCTGGACACTGCTACATAAATCAACTTTCAGTGCATGACACCTTATTACAATTGACGTTAACCCGACGTGGACGGCTGTATCAAATGAGCACATATGTAATGTTTATAAACTTGTGTAAGCAGCCCTGCAAACACTTTTGAAGTTTCACGAAGATTGGCGTCTATTTGAAAAGTAATTTCCAGACCTGGCGTAGCTCTGTGGTAGAACTGCTTGACTGCCACGCAGAATGCTTAGGTTCGGTTCATGCTGGGACCCTGACATTTATTATTTGCATTCGTCGGGGGGTCAACGCTGCCTATGACATTATTTTCCTAACACTGGCTTTTATTCCATGCCCTCGTTGGGTCGACGCTATCGATGTCGGGTATTGCTTAACACTCGCACGTTAAAATTGCCCACGTGTGTTCTCACCGTTTCTGGGTAGATACCTAAGTGTCAATGACCTGTGGCACATGCCCGCATACCAGCGGCACATATTCGCCCGTGGGTATGTGCCACTGTCTGGCGGAGTGTGCTTGACGACATATGCGACAGAATCGTAACATTATCCGTCTCCTGACCAGCGCGCCATATTGGTGAAATCATCTTACCCTCCCATGCTAATTTTGGTTCACGTCAAGTAAAGGTGGCAACCAGGAGAGCACCGAAACGTAACCGGCTAGATAGATACATACGCTCAAAGTCACCGAAGTTCGATCGCAAGCCACTGCGAAATTTTTTGGGGGCCCCCGAATTGCGTGGGTGGCTCAAGAGCACCACTCAATTCAGAAGTCAACCAATAACTTGATCGGACGTTCTCGTGGATCTGGTTACTATGCCTTAACTTTCCTAACCGTCAAATAAACTTGGAACACAAAAATGAATAACGTATGTTTTCTTATGTACATGGTTCCTCACACTTGCATATCACTGCGAAAGGTCGTGTAAATTTAAGGGCTCGTTATGTTACAATGTTGAGAATCAACAGAGAAAATGTCGCGTTTGATGAGGCACTGTTCTGACACGTGATACACTGACGAAGCACCGAAGATGAATGGAGTCTCTATTACGAAGTCAAATAACAAAAAGGAATAAACATGAAAAAATCCATACGAACCCCTTTTTCCGACGCCGCATGATGAGCGTTTGCCTTCCAATACCCGAAAGCACAACACTGCATGACCAGCCAGCAGAACACTAAACACGGTTGTCGAGCTTGTCCACGTGCCACCGATGCGTGGTCGACACTAAATCATCCCACGTGGTTTACAGCTCTTGCTGGACGATTCATTCTTGCAAGGTTGGTGAATAACTTCGTTGAATGGCCATCAATATATCTTCAACTCAACTAAGTATGATGGCACCTAAAGAGAAGTTTTGAATAAGCAGCTTCAACGCGAATCTTGCAGAACTTTTCACGCACGGAACATCGCGCGCTCGATGTACTGGTTTTGACACGTGGTCAACCTGTCTGGACATGACAGCTACGACGCACCGAAGACAACCTGACGTCATCCCGGTAGAAGGAGTGTGGATTGGTCGACGAGAAGCGATTGTAACCAGCGCGGCCACAAAAGCTGTGCTGAGGAGGAGAAGGTGGTTGTTGACGCCTGGTCTATACGGTACACTGACCATTCTGTGACTCCTCCATTCTCTTCAGCACCCACCTGAAAGGATCATACCGTCGAGCCGTGGTTTAGCAAGCAGGTGGTTCAGCAGGTGTCACATTTTTTTCCTATCGTCAGTCTGCCCGGAATTTCCAAGACTTCATGGTGTGCAGAGGGAAGCCATTTCTGTAGAAAATATGGCAGACGGCAGCCTTTTCTTCCCAAATTGAGATGTGGCTGCAAATGCTGTCCCAAAGACCCTTTTTAATAATAATCTCAGTGGAAGTACACAGTACGACCGCTCGTCTTCAATGACCCTGTGTCCTTGCCTTTAAAAAAAAAAGTAGAAAAATCGGACCGAAAAGAAAGGAGTGACCACTCTTGGAAGCCGGACCAGAAACCTTATTATGCGTTAGCAGTCGTTTCTGTCAAAGGCAGCGTGCAAACCGGGGCACGTGCGAAAGCAAGAACAAAAAAAAAAAAGAAACGCCCCTCTTGGTGACATGCGTACAATCGACTTTCCCAGAAACGAGTTCCTTTCTCCCCCAGGAACGACGATTCGTTCCAGTATTTTACGGGTCAGCGGTGGCGACTAAAGCTCCTATACTTCGAAGGCTTCAGTGGCGACCCGTCACGCCCCTTTAGGCATGACCATTGTCCTGCGTTCCCCTCGCGTGGAAAATATGACTGATTGCTGCCGCTGTGAACCTTTTCGTCCACGGTTTGAAAGTTTGCAATTGCCGAGCGTTGCCCTGTAGATTGATGTGGCTTCGGCAGGGCCGGTAGTGTAGTTCATGCGAGATCGATTCATTTATTGAATTAAAATAACGGTGGTCATCCGGAAAACTCTGCAAGATCCGCAAATTGCGGGAGGGATGCATAGCGTTTGCATGAGATGACCGTATAACGTTCAACGTTCTTTGAATATCCTGACTGCTATTTGAATTGATTATCTCTGACGCTAGCACGCTCATCAAGATGTGAGGCTTATTGTAGCTTCTGCATAGACAAATATTTATTATCCGAAATTTCATAATACAGACGGTTATAACACAATGGCGCTGTTACGAATGTGAGGGGTGCGGTACTTTGTTCCTGTGTGTTCCTGTTCCTGGCCTCGGAGATGGCGAGCGCGTAGCGTGTATCTTGGAGGCCATGCGACTCTTGCATTAGATCAAAAACCTGTGTGTGTGTGTGTGTGCGTGTGTGGTGTGTGTGTGTGTGTGTGTGTGTGTGTGTGTGTGTGTGTGTGTGTGTGTGTGTAATCGTGCATGTGTTACGAAGCCCCTTTGCTCTAGTGAGGCATTGTTAGGGTGCTCCGATACTTCATCTACATCTCCCAACGTCTCCGAGCGCAACAGATTGCGTCACCTTGCGTAGAGCAACAGTGTGTGTGTTACCTGTTCAGTGCACCGGTTACGAACCAGATTGCGCTCGTGATAAGGGGTACGTGAGCTCCCAAGGCGCCGTACATACGCGGCGGGAGGGTCCGGCGGCAAGCGCGGGACAGTTGTCAAACGGAGCTCTACCTTCCTTCCTTTCCTCCTTACCCTCTATCCCAGTTTCAATGCAGTGGCGACGCCACTCATAAACAAAAACGTAACAATATTCAAGAGGCGGCGGTGAGTCACGCCAGCGACGCACAAACTGGTTTTTTTCTGAGCGCCCGCCGTCGCCTTGAGCCTGGAGAAGCCGACGGCGGGTCTTGTCGTCCTCGGACCATTAGTTCCGTGCAGTACTGCTGAGCAGCTATTTTTTAAGACGAAGATCTCGGGTCTCCAAGCAAAACTGAGTCAGGGTCGACCGTCGTCCCACAGCGACGCCTAAAATTCTCACGTGAAGGCGTCAGTACAGACGTCCAATGCCGACATGGTGACGTCACGTGAAGAGGTCATCACATGACATGCTCGTTTGGTAGAAGACAGGCCAATTGCGAAGGCAATGCAAGATCACGTGGGATAAAGAAAGCTTGCGATGTCTCCGATCTCGGAGGCAAGGCAAATCATGTGAGGCGCAGAGAACATTTAGAAGAGGTGGGCAAGGTGCAACAGAGGAGCAATACAAACCCTCAGGGTAAAATAAGCGAATTCAAGGTATTACAAAAAAAAGCAAAAAGTTGGCTCTCACCATTGAGTAGCCTCGGAACTTAAAAAAAATGTTAA